ATCATGTTATTTCCAAGAGCAAAAATCCGAGGACCATATTTCAGGTCTTTTCTAATCATGTGGAGTATCGTGAAGGGAAACCTTGATTTTTTGTGAGCTCTCCCATTTATTTATTGTTGCCTGTAATACAGAAGAAAACAATGACACTATTGTTGATGCCTTTATTATAAAGAAGTGAAAATGCAAGCCAAATTTAGACACAAATTTAGCTGTTCGGCTTTCATCCCTGCACAAAATTTCTGCCTACCCAAAGAAAAAAAAAAAAAACAAAACCAAGATCTTTGATGAGGAATATGTATATTTGCCCTGAAAGATTGTCACAAATCTTCTCAGTACAACAAATCTTGCCAAGGACTGCTCCATATATTTCTCTAAAAGATGACCAGCTAAAAAAAAAAAAGCATAAAATGGAATAAAAGGAGCCTTATTTTAAGATGGTTAAAATACTTAGGCCAATAACTGTCTGCTTGTGATTTTTGTCAGCATTCAAGTATCATAAAAATGAAATACATGCACTATTTGCATTTGTTGTGATATTTTTATCTTTGGATCTTGGTAATATGAGAATTGATATCTTAATTTATAATCACCAGAAACTCCCCCTATAACAATACAACCACAGACTGTGCAGTCGTTATATATAGTTGAATCTATATATATATGATATATCACTTACATTACTGAGACATTGTTGCATGGAAAGATTCAGGACATTCTAGCCTTATTAACAGTGCTCAGATGCTCTAAAACTTCCTGCCTCTGGCACAGGACGAGTCAGATCCTGCCTGTACCCATCTCTTCAAAAAGCTCTTACCAAAGTCATTTGCCTGATTCACAGAGAGAGGTCAGGCTTTTGGTTATCTAGGAATTACATGGACTCAGACTCATTTCCTCCAGGATCCCAACTACCTGATTAAAAATATCAACAGGGAATTTGTTCTCTGTTCCCTTATCTGTTACATCCCCTGTGATCAAGGGATGGACACACCTATTAGCTGCAGCCTCCATGCAGCACCCAGAGCAAGGGTCAGTGCATGTGGATCAGAAGGCTTGAAAACTATGCGTTTCAGTTTCTCCAGGGTGAAGCCGAGGAGAATGCTTTTGCAGTGGGGTTTGTGCACTTCATCAACAGTTTGCAAGGTGATTTAACACTGTTGTTAGCTTGAAAGCAAAAGATGATGATTGTCCCATTCTGTCCATAGTAAATCAGGAGTTAGCCACCTAGAACAAAACAGAAAGACAGACCTACAGAGGAGAATGCCTGTTCAAGATACAGACTTATGCAGAGAATGACTTGGACATGTGTCAGACTAAAAGCTCAGTAATACTTCATTGGAACTCTCTCTTCAGAAATAGTAAAGGTTGTTGAACAAACTTCTCTGAAAAGTCTCCTGCTGACACTCGAGAAAATTTTACCAAGAATCAAAGTCTTAGCAGGAGAAGACAGAAGGCTTTTTGTCCTGGCTAACCCCTGCATTACAGACACCTGCACCAATGAAAAAAAAATTTATGTCTTTGGCTGACTTGAGTGGAATGAGAAATCTTCTGGTTTTCAGAACTCTTTGCTCCTTCAGATCGTTTGAAATGATCAAAGGAGGAAGGCTGTGGATCCACGTAGGGAACTGGTGATTTAGCAGCAAAGTTCTTTATTCTGAGTCTTAACAGTTGAGAAAAGCTTTGGCTGACCCAGGATATTCGGTTTAGCTTTGGTTTTCCACCACCCATGTAGGACAGCGGGAATACTTGGAAGAGCCCTAGAGCAGCTGTCCTGCCACAGAAGGAGAAGTGCTGTAAGATGATCAGGTACTAGAGGAGGGCTTGTCCCGACGTGCTGTTAGTGAAATAATATCAAAGCACTCTGCATTTTTTAAAGGGTGGGTCACTGCTGCTACTTTTGCTTCATTCCTGCAGGCAAGTGAACTTAGTGGTAGAAGATTGTATATGAGGACCCCTTGCATCTTTTTCACTGTATTTGTACATGTAAAGCACTGTAGTCTCCACATTGCCCAACACAATAGTGATTATACTGATGTAGTTTATTCTCGTAAGAGAAGGGGAATGGGTATAACAGCACCAGGGCTTTTAATAACATCCAATCCATAAAACTGTCCAGTAACTTTGGAAAGTTCTCTCTGCAAATGGATAGCCACAGGCAGTGACACACTGGGAAGCACTACTGAATGTCTCTAGGCTTTTACCGCAGCAGGAGGAAAACGAACTTTGGAAAATCTGCATCTGATCTGTTTTTCGAGCTCAGAAGCATGCAAGATGATTTTTAGTTTAGATTAAGGTAAACAGCACAGAAAGAAGAAAAGAATTATAAGAGAGTGGAATATGTCTCACATCTCAAATACCCTCTGTTGCCATGGGACTGGCCCTGCCTACAACCCGTTTCAAGGGGAGAAATAACAGCACAGATACTGGCACTTCAGGAATCTGTGCTTAGGAGGTAAGTTTGATGGGAGACTGAAAATGACCTAGAAATGGGAGCTAAAAACCTCTTCTGTCACAAGAGAATTCCTCTGTACAGGGCTGCAGAGCATGTTAAGGAACAATTCAGAGGAAGCCAGGTTTGAGTGGGTTGTTCATATAATTTCCACTTCTGTTGTAGACAAGACATAATATTCAAGAGAGCTCAGCTGAGGGCTGGGTCCAGTGCTGTAGACCTGCAGATACAGATCCCATACAACCCATTCAGGACTTCAGCTCTAGCTGGAAGGGAAGGAGGGATCAGCCCTACATTTTGTTTCCCATTAATATATCCAGGATGTTTAAACCTGTCTTCTCTTCTTCCAGCCTTAGTGGTATTAAGCAGAACAGATATCTACTGAGGGTATAATACTGTGTTTTCCTACGCGAACAGCAAAGGTCCCAATAGCAGATGGATGCTGCACAGCAAATGCTGAATCCTTCAGCCCACTGAGACTCACTCTGAGCTATCAGCACCGAGTTCACAACACGCACAGGGTAAAACCAAGCAGCTCTGAGGCACCTCCCTTCAAACAGTGCTGGACACGCCCATATAGGAGGAAGTAAGTTCGTATTATCCATGGCAAGCAACCGTTCTAGATGCTGGTGCATTGAAATAGGTCTTGTATCCTGCTCCATAGTGTATAAAAAGAAAAATGGAAGGAGAGTTAGATCTAGAGAATGACCCCACAAACAGATGTTTCATATCCTGAAACATACTTGTTTAGGAATTAGTACATTTGCCCACAGGCATTCC